CCCCCCCTCCCCCCCTCGGCTCGGACATCCTTTGTGAATGGCCCCTAATGAGTTTCCTTTGGGCAGCCCAGTTTCCTCTCGTACTGACGTTGTACCAACAAGAGATTGACCTTACTGGACCTCTGCAAGGAGAAATGTTTATGAGAACTGATAGAACTATCCAGTACAAATCATTATATAGTTCGGTTTAGATTTTCCGCTGTTGTAACCACACTATAGCAATTACAGGCCTCTAGAAAGAACAGTTTAGAACTGATAGTAGTAAGAGCTATTCAGAATAAAGTAAACTACTAAAGTAGTACCCCCGCACTACCTCTAACTAAAAATGTAATGTGGATAATTTGTTTTCCCTCGATCTTTATTTTCAGAGTAAATGAAGTACGAAACTGGGTGAACACACTGCGACCTTCTGGAGGATGTAACTTGCTTGGAGCATTGCGGCAGCTGGTGAAATGGAAGAACATCGATTCTGTTGTTATCGTTCTTGGTAGCAGGTAATTTATCAGAGAAGCCGGGTCATTCGAATGTTTATCCGCTTCAGGGCTGGAAAAATTATCGGACCAATGGTCCCAGAAAATTTTCGAGTTCCCAGAAAATATTTCCCCCAGAAAAGAAAAAAAGACAACTGTAATAATTTAGATAAAAGGAGAAATTCAGAGGGAAAATTCTAACCAATAGAAAGAATGTTATAACCTGTACTGTAGGTATGAGCTTAGAAATGCAATTACAAGTGCATCCATCTTAATAGGGCGATAGTGTATAAATGTATAGACTATATATTTTCAAAATGTTCTGGGGGAGCATGGATCCCCCTGACAGTGCCCCCAGTAGTGCCCTTTTTTGGCGTCTGTATTTACCTTAGGATCAGACCCTTGATGCATGTTATCAATGTTATATTCCAAAAAGTATTTTTAAGATTCTCAGTGCATGCATTGAAATAATTTTTTCTGTTAAAATATAGCATGACATCATGTTTCGCTCGCTACTCTGGTTTAAATAAATGATTACAAAGCCCTGTAGAATTGTAATCAAGACCCAACGTTTCGACACTCCAGTCTAGTGTCTTCATCGGGGTGATCTAAAATTGCAATCGTGGCTTCTTAAATACCCAAGGGATGACGTCACCTGCCAATGAGATGCATATATTCCTCTGGCAAATAATCACCGTCATCCCTATTCAAAGCATGATGACTCATATTTATATGCCACGCTTCTAGGCAAAGTCTTTGACCATAGCGATTGTTTGTGGTAATTACTTTAGAGTTTTCCCACTACAATCGCTATGGTCAAAGACTTAATTACCGCAAACAATCGCTATGGTCAAAGACTTTGCCTAGAAGCGTGGCATATAAATATGAGTAATCATGCTTTGAATATAGGGAATATATGCATCTCATTGGCAGGTGACGTCATCCCTTGCCCCTTGGGTATTTAAGAAGCCACGATTGCATCTTTAGATCACCCCTGATGAAGACACTAGACTGGAGTGTCAAAACGTTGGGTCTTGATTACAATTCTACAGGGCTTTGTAATCACTTATTTAAACCAGAGTAGCGAGCGAAACATGATTGATATACCTGGTTGCAGTGAACGAACAAACTTTAAATAGCATGACATCTTGACAACTTGTTAGTGTCACACAGTTACAGTGTCCAAGTGTCGATTTACTTGATTATTCGCAGAAACCTTTCAATGTTCTCTTGCGATCCCAGAAAGTAAAATATATTTTCCACCGCTGGCCAGCTTTTTTGTAAGGATTGTTAATAAATAACTTGAGCCTAACCTTGTGATAAATGTTCCTGAATTTTCTTAATTCCCCCCAAGCATTTTCCATGAATGTCCTTGATTTCCTAAATTTTAGGGGGGGGTGCATATTTACTAAACGGCTTTAGCCGAAATCTCAATCCCAAAAACGAGGTTCTATACCCAAGGCTAAGTAGTTTTCGGAAGGGTCTATAGACCTTTCCCCTTCTGAGTGAAATTTTGATCTAGATATGCCTGGACAAAAATTTCATCACAGCTTGAAAGAGCATCACAAAATTAGTAATATTCCGAAGTTTCGTTGCGAAATGTTGTAAAATGCGGATAATATAGCCTTGCGAAGTTTGCCGTTTTTGGAATATTACTAATTTTGTGATGCTCTTTCAAGCTGTGATGAAATTTTTGTCCAGACTTGTCTAGATCAAAATTTCACTCATAAGAGGAAAGGTCTATTGCAGTGCTAGGCTGCGTTGATAACAGTCATTTGACTGATGTATATATTAAATTATAGGAATTCGCTAGATCGAGTAAAATATTAAAAATAATTCACGTCAATATGTCTAATTTTTGTTTTCAGTCCTGATCAAGAGGCAGAGTTAATTTGTCAATATGTGAGACAGTCTCTGGCTGGAAGACAGTTACCATTTCATACTGTTGCGTACAACTGTATCGCGCCTGATAATGTGAGTACAATCAAGTACCCCCTACAGACGAGCAGAGTTCAATATAATTCTGAAAACTTGGTCTGACATTATGTCAGACTAACCCATGTTTTGGTCAGACATGATCGGACACTTAAGAGGGACGTAGTCAGTTGTCACATGCAGTACTATAAACGAAAACCGTAACAACAATCAAAAAGTCCAAAACCATATGCATATGCATAATGATTAACAAAATTACACAATATCAACTTACTCAGTAACAGTATATATATAATATAAAATATTTCTCTTAACATACGAGATGACATTGTTATTATGTGGATCGTGACGAAGTCAGATTCTGTGATTGTCTAGCAGACGGAATCTTTGTTTGCATGTGTTAAAGATTACAGATTTTGATAGAAAGATTTGCAACAATAAAGGAAGAAATATTAAAATTAATATATTTATATTAACGTCCATGCAGAGTAATCAGTAGACGGCCATATCAGCATTTTGCTTGGCTAATGGCCGGTGGCCGACCGTTATATTGAGCCCTGCAGACGAGCAATTTTTTCTTGACAAATTTTCCTTCAAGAATTTTATTTGCTCCCGTGACTGTGTGGAAGATGAATTTCCTCTGATGTATTTTTCCTTTTTGTACCAATGCCAGGGACTTCTGGAAGAACTAGCCAAGATGTCCGAAGGAAGATATCACTGTTATTCGTCTTCTTCGAATGTATGTTAAATTGTTAACGATATAGTCCAGGCACTCGCGTATCTATCCAGGGGTCTGAGGATACAGTGGAGGCAGTTGCCCTTACAGAAACCAGGGGGAGCTACAATCATAACACTATAATGCAACCGACATTCTTATTTTGGTAATAAATTCATTTCTCTCTGTTTGTGAATGCTGAGCCCTATCCTCACTCCGACTCTAACCCTAACCGCTGACCTTAACTCGTGAACAGCGAGACATGAATCTATATCCCTTATTTTAGTGCCGCTGGACGCTGTTTAGCCTGCAGCAGGTGGTACTAGTGGGCACACGAAGGCGGGAAACAACTGCTCAGACGCTGCTCAGCCTTTCTTACCTCCCTATACCTTACCTTACCTTACCTACCCACCTATCTATCTACCCACCGACCTACCCACCGACCTACATGTATCAAAACCTACCCACCCACCCACCCATCTACCTAGTACCTACTTATCTACCGGTGGTTAATTAATCTATTTATTATAGAATGGATGACATATTTTGGGCAATTTTTATAGTTCCTATTTGAAGTGAAACGCATGAAACGTATTCCTAGCCCAATGCAGACCATAGCCTATCGAAGGGAAAATGGCTGTGAAACTCATTAGAATAACAATATAACTCATTATCTATGTTAGTCAACGTTTATTCATAAATCTGGTCCTTCACAGTCACGTGTGTATTGTATTTTTACCAAATCCACCAATAGCAATTTCCATTTACCCTATTGTCCGAGTCACGGATAGGTAATAGTTGGGCAATAATACAATACACAGGTGATGGTGAATTAGAGCCAGATTTATGAATAAACGTTGCCTAACATAGATATATAATGAGTTATATTGTTATTCTAATAGTTTCACAGCCATCTTCCCTTCGATATATATATGATATGCTATGTGCAAACACACCACCTAGAACTTTTCTCTAATACTTTTTCTTGCCCTCCAACATTCCGCCTGAACATTTTCTTAAATATTCACATAATTATATTTCTGAATCATTAAATCACGTCATCCTTGCGATCGAAATTTTCTTCTCTCGTAGGACAAGATATTCACTGGGACTGATTTACGACTTCTCGTTCATGAAATTGAAAGGTGAGGTCTTGTAGTAAATGCAGCCATATAATTGTAATTCGCGTTTGCCTTTGCATTAGAGCAACGCATTTAGGCTACTGCATCTGGGCATTTATGTAATATTTCAAAACCGACTATGAGGACTGGACTAGATTTCAAGTCCGCGCAATTTGATCATGTCCGAGGCGAAGCCAAGGACTGGATCAAAATGTGAGGACTTGAAATCTAGTCCAGTCCGAATCTAGTCCAGTCCAGGATTTGAAATGACATTTCAATGGTGGGTTGACTACAAAATTTTTGTAGTTCGCTATAACTACAGCTACTTCAAAAATATGTAGTCAGCTACAACTACTGCTACTTTTGAACAAAAGTAGTTCGCTACTGACTACAGCTACTGCTTAAAAAATGTAGCGAGCTATTTCGCTATTTCGCTACTCTATATTTTTTAGTTTTACGGTATTTGGAGCATCTAGTAGCTCAGGCTGTAATATAACCTATAACAAATCGACCTACGAGTAGCAACAGTAAACAAAAAGGGTCAAAGCAACATTTTTGTAAGCACTACAGTGTTCAGGAGTGCCACTTTTCGTTGCGCTAAAATAATCTTTACTGTATAAAATAATCTTTTAAGCAAATATCATACGAATAAATAATTAATTAAAGTGAGGTGAATTAATTTTGATCCAGTCGTAGGACTGAATTAATGTTGATCTAGTGGACAGGATCATTATGCCTCACCAGGTATCCAGTATTATCATGTGAGCAAAATCAAGCAATATGGTTGGCTAACTTACTCATGAATTATTAATGAGTTTGAGATTTATTTATTAAACTTCGCCAACAGAAACGTACAAACATGACATGACAGCAGCAGAACTTGTACATCACTGAATCTAACAACGAATGGCGGGGACACCACAACAGTATAATTGAATGGTTATGTTGATAATATTCGAAGCATAGATATATCTATGATTCAAAGCATAACCGTCAAAGTTGAATAGTTATGCCGATAATATTCAATGGCATAACCATCCAAGTTGAATGGTTATGCTGATAACATTCAAAGGCATAACCATCCAAGTTGAATAGTTATGCCGATTAATATTCAAAGGCATAACCATCCAAGTTGAATGGTTATGTTGATAATATTGAAAGGCATAACCATCCAAGTTGAATTGTTATGCTGATAATATTCAAAGGCATAACCATCCAAGTTGAATGGTTATGCTGATAATATTCAAAGGCATAACCATCCAGGTTAAATTGGTAATGCCGATACTGGTAATATTCAAAGTGTACACGGGCAACTTTTCAATTCATGAAAAACAAAAGGATTTTTGAATCTTTCTGAATTCAGTGTTTAAAATGTTGGGGGGGGGGGGGTCAAGGGCACCGCGAAACGCTAATCCGGCCCTGACTCTTCCACAGTCCCTCATCCGTTATCCGTACCCGCGGTCGCGATTAATTTCTATCGAACTTCCAGTGATCTCTATTCCCAACTGAAGCGACGAGGGACGAGGCAGAATTCAATCCGGCCCTGGCCTCTGTCATCATATGCGTCTGCCTCATAGAAATAATAGATATGATTTCTATGGTCTGCCTCATCCTCGTTCCCAGGGCTTCTCGGCTGCTTGCGTTGCCGTAAGGCAGCCGAGAAGCCCTGGAAACGAGGATGTGGCACAGCCTTTTGTAGCTCAGTGTTGCTCAGTGCTTTTGTCTGCCTTCATTTGCGCGCGTGTTTCCGTGTGCGGGAAAGAAACACGTGTGGTGCGTGTGCGGGAAAGAAACACGCGTGGAATGTTTCGAGCGCCTGCGCGTGGCCGGTGCCCAATATTTGTTCAAAAATTCAACCGATTTCGAATTTTGAACACAGCGTTTCTTTTAAATTTTGATCTTTTTACTGAACTAAAACACATCGAAGGTCTACTTTTGCTTAAAGAGGTGGCTAAGAGGTGAATGGTTGTTGATCCGGATAATTCCAAGCAGAGTTTATATTCAAAAGATTAAAGCGATTCAAAGCATTTGGTTTGTCGTTTTATACTGGTTTGTACTAGTTCCTTTGGCTATTCTGTTTTTATAGCAAGCGGATTTGTTTGACGAAATCTTTTCG